TTATTTGAATTGTTTCCCTTAATAGGTATAATGACTTTCCAAGTAATTTGGGAGTTTTAAAAGAATATTATAGGTAATAGTTTTATCATTTGTACTATGTCACATTGCCCAGAGTTAGCACTGCCCAGTTACAGTGAAAAGAAGAAATGTGACTGAGATATACCATAGAAAGAGTGCCTTTAAAGACTTAGGGGCTAGGGAGATGGCTCAGTAGAATAAGTGCTTGCCTGGCAAATGCAAGGGCCTGAGTTCAATCCCTGGTTCAAAAAAAAAAAAAAAAAAGAAAAAATGGCTGGACCTTTTAGGTACATGTCTTCCTGAAAGAGTTAAAGACATCATGTTACAGTGATACATGCATTCTTATGTTTATAGCAACACAATTCATAATGGATAAATCCTGGAAGCCATCTATATGTTGATCAATAAGATGAATAAATAAAGAAAATGTGGTATTTATGCACAGTAGAGTCTACTCTGACATAAAGATGGATAAACTGCATCATTCATTAGAAAATGGATGCACCTTGAAACTGTAATGTTAAGTGAAATAAATCAGACAATGAACTTAAATATTACATGGTTTCTCTTATATGAATAACCCAAATTATAAATGAACAACCCAAATTATAAATAGCAAAATTAAAGATAGATAATAGGAAGTATGACACTTTTTGCACATGGAAGAGAAACCAAGAGATGGAGGTAGGAGGAAGGAGAGGAGGGGAAGGGGATAAAAATGAATTAAAATGTGTTATGTCCATCTACCAGCTCCCCATAAGGAATGTGATCATAATGTACTGCAAATGTATACTAAGAAAAAAGGAAATCACAAGGGAGGTAGCTCAGTGTGAAACCCTTGGAATCAACTCCCAGTAATCAAACAAAACAAAACAAAACCCAGAAAAACAACCCAGAGGCCTGGGAAAGATTCTCTTTGTATACCTACAAGGACAGTGATCTAGTATAAAATGCAGTGGAATGTAATGTATTACTGAGGGTTTCTGTTTTAACACCTTGATCAGTACTTGTATTTGTCACTTATGTGACTAATTCAGAACTCTGCACAGCTTAATACTGCCTATATTAAACTTCAGAGCCAGAAGTAAAAACATCACATCACAGGCAGTTAATAAATATAATAAAATGGTGTTCAGGTATGAAGTCTAGAATTTTTAATTTGATATGGGCTTCTGTCTCAAGTACATTAAGTACTTGTCTTGAGTACATTATCTTTGCACATAAAATGTATTTGTTGGATTTGAGAAACCAGTCCTTTTGGTAAAGAGTCTAGTGACACATAGATTGAGACTAAAGACTAAACAAAGCTCGCAGAACTGTTTTATGTACTAAATAATTCCACTCCTTAACATTAATAAAATTTATTTCAGTATCAATTTGATTATAACTCAGGTAATATGCAAAGCTCTTCCTATATAAGTCAGAGCACTCTGTTTAGGTCTATGTAGAATTAAAATGAATAATAGTCACCACTGTATTGTCAAAACTGTATCAACAAATGTTTCTACCCCAAATTGCTGAGCAGATTTGCCATATATATTGTTTTTGTAGTTCAGTGGCACAGCACACTTGGTTAATTGAATTGTAAATAGTAATTACTGGTGGGAGAGATTATAACTAGACATCTATATAGAAAAGAATGTGATAGGCTTGTTTGACCAAGCTTGCAACTTCATTTTCATTTTGTTGTTGTTGTTTTTCTGAGACAGGATCTAGCTGTGTAGCCCAGACTGGCCTCAAACTCACAGGGATCTTCTTGCCTCAGCCTCCCAAGTGCTGGGATTACAGGCATGTGCCACCATGCCCGGCTGCAACTTTATTTTCTACTTTGTATTCTGTGCTACTTTTATGTCAGTTGTTTTATACAGACTTTACAAGTCATTTTTCGGAGTAGGGGCACTGTTCATTTTTTTTCAGATGCTGTCCTGATTTCTGTTTATTGATTTCTTATCCTGTCTGATGACTTTGTCATTATTTCCCTTAAAACCTGAATTATAGATGTTAAACTGTTAAATAATTATGCCTGTGATTCAGGAAGGAAAAATACCAAGCACAAAATTGTGCCTAATTTGTCATCTGAACAGTATGCCTTGGGAAATAGTGTCCTCTAACAAGATAAACTGGTACAAATGTACTGTTAGTTGCTGAGCTTTCAGAATATTATCTTGGGTTTTCTTTTTTATCATAAATCATCTGTTTAAAAATTTTAAGGATATACCACTGAGACAACAATGTTCAATGTATTTATTACTGAAATTGTCCTACTGATCGGTTTTGAAACTGTCTCATTGCTATTTGTTTCTCAATAAAATTATTTTTTGAAAAAATAAATCCAAATGCAAAATGTATGTGGAAAAATATTCAGTCTTACTAAATAAAATAAAGGCAAAGTTGAGTTCAATCCCCCATTCCGCCAAAAATAAAAAGTAAAAATAATAAAGGCAAACTAAAAAAAAAAAGTTTCAAGGATTCAACTTTTAAAGAGAGCATACTCTTAAGTGAAATAAATCAGACCCACATATGCAAGCATCATATTGTCTCCTTAGTGTAAAAACCTGAAAGAGAAAATCTGAAGGGTACAGAAGATATTCAAAAGGAAGTAATTACTGAGTTGAGAAGGACAGCAGAGGCAGTGAGGGAAAGAGATTTATCTATGTATGTTTGCAGGATGGTTTGGACAACTGTACTGTGGATTTTTGCTGGTCTATGGAAAGGAGCAGTTAATGCTTAATTTGTTTTATCTCCTTTTTAAAAAATTCTCTGACCTTTTCTCTTCTTGTTTTCTTTCTTTTTTTTCTTCTTCCAATTTTACATGCATATATCTGGTAATATGAACAACTAGTTTGACGACAGCACTATGCATTACAACAAATGCTATGAAGTTCATATTATTAGGTGAAATTCTATATCACTTGTATTTTTTCTGTTTTAGTACTATTTTGTACCCTCTTTAAAAAATAAAATAAAAAAAGAAATAAAAATGGTTTCACGACTCCATTCCTCTAACTACAGTGTGTGGAGTTTGGAGGAAGGGATGTTCCTGTATAATGTGGTGTCTTCAAACACTGCCAACAACCTAAGAAAGGGGAGGGGGAAATTCAAGTTATTGAGAGGAGAGAGCCAAAGATAAAATGTAAGAAATCAAAGATGAAGACATTAAATACTTAGATTCTAAAGCACAAACTAAATGTCAAAGACTATATCTTTGTTTATTAACTTTGGTTAGTAAATACTCAGCGTGCTTTTGAATAAACAGTGACATCCCTGGTAGTCACTTAACAAATTGTTAGATACCTGTATTTCCCTTACTGCTAACATGTTTCCCATTATAGTTCCTTACATCTAAATGTCTTTCATCTCACTTCTATCCCTTTCCACTATTGCTGGTCTTCAACACATCATTTGTACTTCCAAAATGATCTTACCTTTTTTCTTTAAAAGTTTAGACTCCACACAACCATCAAGCTTGTTTGTCTGAAACCCAGATATTATATCACTCTCTAATTTAAAAATCTGCAATAGTTTCTCATTGTAATCAAAAGGCAAAACTCTTCATCATTGTGTCAAGATTTTGTAATCTCTGATCTGTTACCAATCCTTCCACATGACAGCCATGATGTATTCCTAAAATCCGTAGAGCTTCCTAAAATCCGTAGATTAATGCTCTTGTCCCACCCCCATGTTAGGCTATTTCTTTTTCCTCCTGTAAGGTCCAGCTTGAATATGCCTCTTTTTTTTTTTAAGTTTTCCTCACTCGGGTCCCCTTCACTCCCAGCAAAAACAATGGTCCCCTATTCTGAGTTTCCTGTATGCTTTATTCCTTCTCTTAAATCCCTTTTCCACTTGTATGTTGCCTTTGACTAATGGAATCCTTGCAGATGCTAGTTTGTCCTAACAATATTCATTTAATAGACTACCTGGCATATATAGTATAATATACCATACATCTCTTTTCATTTAATCTTCACAACCATTGAAGTTGGTGCTACATACTTGGGATGCTGTACTAAGGAAAGTTGGCTGAAAATGCCTTACAGATAGCACAAGGCAAAACTTGAGCCCAGCTTAACCTGTCTCTGAAAGCCCATGCTCAATATTTTGCTTT